CCAACGCGAGGGCCCGCTTCGGCGGCCATCGTGATGAGCGTCTGCTACGTATTACTCTGAATAGAGATGGCGCTTGTGGCTTTGTGGCACATATAACCGAGCGGGCGCTCCAGGTTTTAGAAAAAAATGTTAGCTTCAACTCTACTCATACCTTTTTTTAATTATTATTATCTGCGAGTCACACGGTTAACTAAGGTGATGTGAACTCTGTAAATGCAATATCTCACCCAGCAAACAATCTGTTAACGGTGGCTGTTGGTAAAAGCCCATACCCCGTTCTGCGAAGGTGGGTGCAGGGGATGTACACAGCATTGAAAGACTGAGAAGAAAGGCAAGTACAAGGCATTTATTCATCATAAAAAAAGGATGAAGCAATTTAATGTGAAAAATGAAACAAAAGTCACAATGAATGACCAGTTAAATTTCCTTCAACAGCAATCACCTGCTGCAGTCGTTGCCTCCTGATATTGCATCTTAAAAGTAACAAGTAATGGAAAGTTGACTGAGCAAGAAGCTCGGTTCTTTCTAAAACCTGGCACACCTGCTCGACAATATGCACCGCAAAGCCACAAGCGCAATTTCCAGTCAGGGTAATCCGTAGCAGACGCTCATCATGGCGGCCGCCGAAGCGCACCCTCGTGCCAGATTCTGGGGAAAGCACCGTGGCGGGCACATTGTGCAAAAAAGTTGTCTCCTCGGTCTACAGCTGCCAAACTTCGAGGAGGAGAGTGGGCTTTGGCTCCTGTAAGCAACTATCTGTGGGACTTAGTTACACCACCTTGTGGATCGTAAGGTTCTTTCTCTGCACTTCTCAAGATTTTTCACAACAAAAAGATTTATTGTAAAATAGGACAAAATAATTTGGGAATGAGGCCTAAATTCTTGAACTTGACATACTATTTTGAGAGTTGACAGGTATGTTCATGCCTCTCAAGTGGGAATTGAAGAAATAACCTCTTGCTTTGCTCTTTTCTCGCACCTAAAGGAGATGTGCGGAAAATGCCTTTGGCATCCTGGTCACACGTTGGAGGATCCTAGAAAAGCGACTGGGGGAGAGCCCACAGAACGCCGAAGACCTGGTGAAGGCATTCTGTGTACTCCACAGTTTTTTGATGCAGCAGCACGCAGGAGACGACGCATACTGCGCAGCTGGGTACGCAGACTCTGTGAATTCAACTGGTGAGAGGCAGGGCGGCGAGTGGCGCAAACTGCTTGTTCAGCCACCAATGCAGGTGGCGCGAACACTGGCGCGGAACTTTGCCGACATGGCCCGGTATGTGCGGGATTTGTACAAGTTGTACTTCAATAGTGCTGCAGGCAAAGTGTCCTGGCAAGATGCTGTGTTGAAGTGTTAACTAAAAGGCTCAATAGACCTATTGCTATATTACCCAAGCATCAAGGAGAATACAGAAACTGGTGTTCCTCACGCTGCACATGCTGACCTCGGCAGTAGCAACTTTTCTAGAGCAAATATTTAAAACAAATAACATATTGCACGTGCGCTCGTCAACGCTTTATTTTGGTTATTTACTTCGAATCTTTTATACAGGGAAGGCGTGCGCGTGTGGCGCGTGGAACACCAATCCCTGCATTCTCCTTGATGATTGGGTAATATAGCAAATGGTCTATTGTAGGTTAAGCATTCCAGTACAGCATCCTGCACTTTCCAGACTGTGACCTACAGGAGAAAATTAGATATTCTGCATGTGGTGTATACACAAACTCATCTATCTTACGTCACGGCGTGGTGGTGTCGCGTCGGGCGCTCTTCCGGTCGGGCTGTGGGCGGAACTCCCCATGTGAGACGTGTATTCCTGCATTGTTTTGAAAGGAACCAGACAAAAACCTGCCTTCTCGTCACAACGCCTCGACTGGGACTGTTTTAAAAGAGTCGAGAAAGGTTTGAAAGTCAGTTTTTATGTGCTTGGTTCGTCTGAGAACGTGGATATGTGCCGTAAAATGGGAAAAGCAGATGCCGTCGAACCACGATTGCTTGGGCGGGAAGCACTTTGGGTTCAATTCACAGATACTTGTAATCATCAGATTTATTTGTTTTGTTCCCACATGAACGCCGGAAAGCCGTCCAGTTCTACAGACCACCTGCGGACTAGGTTTAGCGCCTCTATAACTTCAAACGGCCGCCTGATCATTCGAACTGTCGTCTGCTCTTTCAAACGTTTCTGCTTGCCGTCTGCTCTCTTAGACGACATGACCCGTAGACCAAATGGTGGCCCGTTGCTTACGATATGAAGTAAGTGCAGTCCTCGAAAGACTTAAATTTAAAGGTTGGTAAGCAGGCTCAATGTAAACAGTAGATACAAGGAGATGTTGATCATTGTTACCAGTGGCCATCACCGACTCGTTATGCCCGATTCCCTTGGTCCGATTCTGCTTGCGATTTTCAGTATCGACGTCAACCATCTCAGCTATGGTTCACGCTTTGGCAGCCCGAGCGACGTGGCAACTGAAAATTGCGAGCGAAATCTTGTCATGCGAATAAGGCTTTAGCATCCTTTCTGCAGCGTCTACACAGAATGAATCGCTGCATGTCACATTATTCACTCGAAGTATTGCGGTGTAACGAGCCTCGTTAATTTCTGTGAGGCCGCTCAAGTAGTCAGACATTGCCAAGAAGACGTAGAATCAACAATTCAAACGCGAAAAAGGTCAGGGAGACTCACACCGATGCTGACAGCGTCGCATTTCAATGGTTTGTTTATGGGCGACAGCGAGCTTTTTGCCCACACCCCATCGCGCATGCGCAGCGCCAGTGGCGTCCGCTAGGGGTGCTCCGGTTTGTTTGTAAAAATGAGTTGTTGTATAGTTTCAGAAGTCGTTTTCAGTGGTGGTAAAGGCTCCGGTGCAGCTAGGCACTGCAGATTTTTTGTTTGTGCGAATACTTGCGCATAAATATCTTTTTGGAAAACCACATGCTCGTGCACGCAGAATATCTAAGAAACATGTTTTTGGCAGAAGCTTTCCCCTGCGGCCACTGCCTGGAAACAATTGGTGATTGTCATTATGTTCCATACTAGTTTTGAAATGTAGGTATGTTCTGTCATCAATGACAGGTTAAGAACTTGACGCTCTGTCTTGGGTACATTGCAGCGTATGCGTTGTCTAAGTTCGGTAGAAGGCAACAAGCATGTGCTGGAGGTGTAGCATCTTCTGTGTTCTTAACGTGTCAACAACTATAGATCTAATCATCATGCAACTTCGCTTGGAAAATGTGCTTTATTTGGTTCTGTACTGTTGTTCTATTGTCTTCAGTTTTGTTGTTTCCTCGATAGTTCATTTCATCTGCTGAACTTTGTGCAAGCATCCGGCCGATTATCCATTCTTTTTTTTTATCTACGTCTGGGGTTCCTCAAGGCATTAACCTTGGTCCTTTGCTGTTTTTAATTTTTCTAAATGATCTATCTTCCTGTAGTAAACACACCACACGCGGTTCTTGTTATTTACCGATGACCTTAAGATGTTTACGGCGGTTAAAACGGTTGACGATTGGGAATGTCTTCAGTGTTACATATATTCTATTTCAGCATGTTGTTGTTCAAATGACCTACTCTTCAATGAGTTAAAGATGAAAAAAATGTCCTTTTCTAGGAAGCGTGAAATTCTGAGTTTTCCCTGTGTATTAGATTCCACCAATATTACTCGGATTGAGGTCATCTGTGATGTAGGCGTTTTTATGAATCCTGCAATAAATTTAAATCATTACGAGACTACAATTGTGAATGCTTCCTTTAGGGTGCTAGACATTACGCGAGTGACACAAGGTTTTTCTAACCCACATTCTATTTTACGTTTGTTTTCTCCACTGGTGCATAGTCGTGTTGAATATACCTCAGTTGTCTGGGAGTGTATGGGAGTGACAAATTCAGGCGTAATTACGTGTGCTCAACGTAGATTCATTCGTGTTTTGTTTGATTGTTATTTTCAACCGAATTATTACTATAGTTATAAGAGGATTTGTGAACTCGTGTAGTTACTCGTTGCCCAACAGGAAAATATTTCGTGGACTGACACATTTGTATAAGATTGTAAATGGTGCAATTGATTCACCAGAGCTACTCAGTTACATCTACTTGCACGTTCCTCGTAGGTCTTGTAGACTTTATACTTTGTTTTACCCTACCGAATTTTACCATGCTGCACCCATGACATGCTTACAACTGATGCATAACCATTTAGAACAGATTTGTGGAAATGTTAGTCTTGATATTTTTGATGAAGAGCCTTAATCTGGAAAGTGTTGAGACTACTACTTTGTCCTAACATTTAGCTGTAATCCCGTTTAAAATTTTACTGCTAATTGACTCATTGACAAGTGCACCACAAAGAATGTGTAAGGCTGTTGGTGTGTCACTCAAAATAAAATAAATAAACTGCTGCATAAGCAGTCTTGTTTCGTGGCTGGAAGTTGCCAAGCTGTGAATTAATTTTTTTCCCTCAACTCGGTCTAGGGGAATGTAAAATTAGAATATATGTGCAGTGTTATCTTAGTTGTGTTCCAGTGGTGCAAATTAGAGTATTTGTCCAATGTTTATCTTATTTGTGTTCCAGTGGTGCACTCAAGACAAAATTTTTTTAAGATTGCACTGTTTTATTATTTCCGACGTTGCATGGTTGATTCATTGGTTAGTAAGAGCGATGAAAGTTAGTAAGAAGCTTAGGCATTATGTTGTGATGTACTGCACAAGTGTCCTTTAGAGGTTGTGTTATGAAATTTTTACGATTATCTTGTAAAACTAAAGAATAAAGGATAAATCGAAGGATTGGGCAGACAAACACATCTGTACATCTTCTTTCCCCCCATCCTCACATGCGCATGTCAAATGCCTTAGGAATGCTACTTGCCCGTCCTCCAAAGCAGATGAGATAGGAGCATTTAGTGCTCCCCAATCTGCTCTCTAGGACGGGGAAGTAGCATTCCTTAAGACATACGACAGGGGCATGTGATGATAGGGGAAGGAACTTCACTCGAAAGAATGTGTATACTACTGTACATTATTTTGCGGTCCTTGCACCTGCATTAGGGTAGTAGGTATTACACCTCTTCGGTACTGTAACACCACATCCAGGAAATGTATTTTGCAGTAACCGTAGAGGTGCTCTGGCACAATGTCCAGATGGCTAGACAGGGAAAGGAGGAACTGTTGGGACGGAGTTTCTTTGTTCTGTAACTGCCGGTCAATGTCTTGGATGAGCTCAGTGTCGTTAGTAGTTCTCTTTTGACTGGGCGGTCGTGATGTGCCGGAAAGAGTGTTTGGAGAGACAGGGTTTGCAAAAGCAGCATAGACGGACTGAGGAGAAGGAAGGGAACGGCATGGAGCGGAGGTGGAAGCTTGAGGGTGAAGAGCGGCAGATTGGGAAGGCAAGGTAGGAGGGGCATGCGGGGAGTGGGTGGGGGTAGAGGAGGCCGAGTGCGCAGGGCTGTCGCTGCCACGCCCGTCTACGATGGCGGAAAGTATCTGTGATGCGCTGTCCTCCAGCTCCTCCTCGTAGCCTTGCAGGACCTCTTGCACCGAGTTTTCATTTTCCACGTCAAGTTCAATGTTGCTGGTGGTCCTAAACACAGATTAAACATTTTTTTCATTGGCTGTTGAGTGCATTGAAATCATCCACATATGCAAATTTTCTATTTTATAAAGACTTGAAAAATTGGTATACATACACGCGTGGCTCCATGATGTCCCGAAGGAAGAGCATTTGACTGATGTATGCCCATTTTAAAGGGGTAGTGAAACGAAATTTTAGCGCCGATCTTGTTGCATAAATATGGGCTAGGGACAGGCACCACCTCGGAAATATAAATATTGCGCTGTAAAACACAGGAGAACTAATTTTAAACATAATTAAACGATTTCAAATTCTCATCTGGTGGATGGGGGGAAGTTCTCGTGACATCACTTGTGCCAAAATAGCAGCGCCGTTCTGCGGCAATACGGCGTGCCGGCAGAATTCGCCTAGGCCTGAACGCGTTTGCAAAGCCTTGGCGGAGAAAGCCAAAGCGTAGTTGGCCACAGTGAGCTCGTTCTCGTTGCGGCTCTTTGCACGACACGGCCCGAACATGCTTCTGGCACGGCCGGTATTAGTTGCTGCGAGTCGCGAGCTGCGAGCCGACGTTAAAAAGGATATGTTTGAACTACGAGGGTGTCAGCAAGAGCCACGCAAATGCCAAATACCTGTTCACACTCGGAGCGGACACGCGCGTTTGATCGAAGTGCTGGATTCGCTCTGTTAGACCGCGTTTCGGTAAGCGCTTCTGGGCCGATCTTTTACGATTGCAACTCGATACTGACATGACACTCGGCAAACAAAGGTTAGACCGACATCGCGTAGCTCCCACGAACTGCTATAGCTCGACACTGACGTAGCGTCGAGTCAGAATAAAAATGGCATACTAATAACAGAGTGTACATACAGAGTTGCCAAGGTAATCCGTATGGCGTTTATTTGAGCTCTATATCACACAAAACAAGGAGATAGAATCAATGAGAGTCCCTTTTCGACGACAGCGTTCGTCACCGCTGTCTCGGAAAACAAGGAGATCGAGATGACAAGGGGAAAATATTGACCTCTGAAATTTAGTTCAGGGATCAAACTACTCATCCGGTAAGGGTCCACAAGGGTCGCGCGGGCATATTCCATTCAGCAGGCCAGCCGGTCATGGACAGACGGTCTTGGCCAAGGACCGCCGGAGCAACGGTGCGCCGAGTCGATGTTGCTGCTAGGCCTACTATATTCTGCCGAGCTCGCTCGGTCGGCAGAATCGTGGCTGTTGTAGCTCTTCTCGCGTGTTTGTGGATTATGCGTTCTTGATCGTCGTGGTCTGTTTTAAGTACTCCTTCCTTTTTTTCTTGCTGGTTGAAGTCGGGACGCACGAGAAGAGCACGAAGAAAAATAAATGTCCGTTGGTGGCCGATACCAAGTAACTGAGCGACGCTGTCGGCCTTGTTGATTTGATCGTAAAAAGTGCGTAAGACAGCTTCGGAGCTGTCGTAGAATTCTGTCGTAACCTGCGCAAAGGTTAAGACAATTCGCTTTGAGAATCCGGCCTCGGAGCTGGTTTTGTCAGTGCTGCCGTGGTTGCCGACTTGCCGTGGTCCCGTGGTGCAGCGTGCGTGCAGCCCTTGCACATCTCAAACGGCCACGTTGTCACAGGTCGTAAATCGTCGACGCGCCACCAAGTGGCAATGCTCGTAACCACAACATTCACGCCGTAGCCTTTCCCGACCGGCACAAGTGACGTCACGAATGCGCCCAATATCCCGAGACGCATCGCGCTCTCCGATGGCCGATTTTTGAGCGCGCGCCCAATCGGGTCCATCAGGGTGAAAAATATAGCCATCCGTTCAAAATACAAACGCGCGATTATGATTTATGAATATCATTGATCATATTGAACCTATTTCTGACCATAATAGGTGTATTTCAAGTTTCGCTTCAGTATCCCTTTAAGGCGGGCTCGGCTGCCCCAGCACTACTCCTTTTCTTCATCTCTTTCAGCTTTTTGCCAAATGTATCACAAAGGTTTCTCCACCTTTTCATGACAGCCCTGATGTCTTCTAAGGAAAGATACACATTTCAGGCATTTTTGAGAACCATATAGCAATGTCTGAAAAAAGATGCTTCGTGGAATTGCGTGCACTGTAGTCATGGGGGAGGAGGGGAGGAGGGGGGGGGGTGCAAATTGTCTCCTCATGCAGCTGTTACTAAAGGCACCCACTCCACGTTAATGCACCATGTAACTTCTGCAGCAGACCTTTCAAGAACAAGAAAAGTGCATGCAGTCACTGCTACTCCACTTCACAAAGGCTACAGGTATTGAGCAATATGTGCAGTGAAACGCAATATATATTTTGCCAAATTAGCTCAATTGCATGGAGAATGCTTTGAGTGTAGGTATCTCAATATCAGGTGTGCATAAAGCATGTATAAAGTAATTTATTTCAGGTTTATGTTGTAGAACAGCTGCAACAGACGATAACACTCGCGGCATGGTCCTTCGGGCTCGGGTGGCATGACTCGAAACGTTTTGCTTGTCTGGTTTATACGGGGTTTTTGCAAACACGCCTCAATGAATCACGCGCTAGCTGTTAGCGGCTTCTAAAGTTAATTAGCCAAAAAAAAAAACACGTATATGAAACTGGTTGTCAAAAGGGACTGCAGAAGTTGTGGCGTAGCTCTGGTAACGGCTGATTCACACGCAGCGGACCGAGGGTCAAATCCGAAAAGCAGACGGTGCACTTTTTGTCGTTTTTTGGTCAGTCATCTGGCAATATCGACAACATATCTTATTTTAAAAATTTTCTTTCTAGAAAATCAAATGCGTCGTCGACGAAACGTCGCAGAACGATAGGGAACAATTCTACCACCGTGAGCTCCGCGTCGTGCGCATAGACACTTCTGGTCAAGGTGCACGACGTCCGCGCGAACGCGACATTGGTGATAATTGTTTCTCAGAAAACCAACGGCCGCACCTGTGCATTCACCACGCACCGATAATTACCTCAGCCGACCGCTAGCTGACATAAAATTTGAATATCCTTCTTTCAATAAAGAGACAGACAATAGCGACGGAAACTGGTGGAGTCGCAGACGGGAGCGCGCGGGGACGCTAGAACGTCGAGCTCTGGTCGGAATGAATCGTAGGTAGAGGCAAAGCTAGCTATTTTTTAATCTAAACTTCAAACTCCTTCGATTGGCAAAGGCCGACGTCTAGCGTTCGCATTCAAAGAGCGAGTAGTGACAAGGGCAGCTAACTTTAGGTTCTCACTAATTAATAACAATCTGCTCGGCATTCTGGCGTCACCGCGCTCTCGTCTCCACTTCTTGCTCAGTTTCTCGGCGCTTAGCTGTCTCTAGTTGAAACCTTTCGTGAAAACATTTCCGCTAATAATTAGGCCATTCTTCTGGGAACAAACAATAAAAAAATACATGAAAAAAGAAAGCTCCGTGTACTTACCATCTTTCTCCGTGAGGCCCATCCCTGTGCAGACAAATTTCCAGCTATTCGCTTTCAGATCGCTGTTTCTATACAGCACCGACTCCTGATCCCATATAGCACGCTTGCTATAAACCAGCGTAATCAAAGGCTCATTTTGAGCAACGCGCTCCGTCGTGCTCGCATCCATCGCTCGCTCAGTGCGCCGCTCTCGCGCGTAGCATACGCTTTACAGGTCGGCCGGTCGTCAGGTGACGTCACTGACGTCACCTTGACGTTCGCGCTAACCGTGCTGCCATTGGCTGCGGCCCTCCGAAAATCGGACCGTGCGTGCGGCGATATCTGGCAAGTTAGACGCATGCGGGCGCCGGACGGAGCTTCCGTCCGACGCTCCGGTGCGACGAAAACCCTCGCCCTCGGACACTCGTTCCGGCGGTTCGCACGTCGGATCGCATTAAAGCGAAAGGCAAGGCCTGCACTGTGTGCGAAAAAGTCGGACATTTTCGTGCTGTTCGCAAGAGAACCGCCGGACGCGGTGACGAAGGCCGCGCTATCAGAGAAGTTGCTTGTTCAGATAGCTGCGAGGATGGCGCCCTCAGTATTCTTCACGTGCAAGGAAAACCGAAAAGCGGTATCTATATCTCTGTCTGTCTCGAGGGGACGATATTATCCTTTTTGGTCGACACCGGGTCAGCAGTTTCGATAATTTCCGAAGATGCGTACCAGAAGAATTTTGTTTCTTCGCTTCGACTGCAGGACTCAGCTGCAAATTTGTTTGATTTTTTGCAGCGGAATATTGCGGTGAAGGGATGGTTTGTGGCCGCCGTCGCTTGCAGAGAGCGGAAGGCTGACGTACGTTTCTATGTCGTATCGGGGGGCACGAATATACTTGGAATCGACGCCGTCGTTTGCTTGTCCCTCGAAATCAGCGGTGAGGCATGTGGGATTTTCCTTGCTGCTACCCGTCTCCCAGAATGACACAGCACACCGCTTCAACAACACGTAAACATTTAATGACCGCTATCGCCAGCGCCGCGATCCCAACAGCCCCCGCGCATCCGCTGCGACGGCCTTTTATCATCGGCGGAGCGCCGCTCGCGTGGCCAATTGCCCTTGGCCCTCTCGTGGTCAAGATGACCACTCATGATTGTGGGAGGGGCAGCTTGGGCCAACCGCTTGGAATCGCCAGGTTGCCCACACGCATTTAAAGTGTTTCAACACTACATGCGTCCATTCGGGACTGCCTCCGGAGCTGGTTGACAAATTTGCTCATCGGTTCGACGGAACGCTCGGTACTGCGAAGGGATTCGATCACACAGTGAAGACGCGTCAGAGAGTCGAACCCGTGTCTGCCAAGTTTCGAAGACTTCCCTTTGCTTTCAGAGACGAGATCTCGGAAGAGCTCCAACGACGTTTACAGGCGGGCATTATCGAGAAAATTGACGCCTCGGAATGGGTATCGCCGATCGTTGCAGTGAAGAAGAAGAATGGAAAGGTAGGACTTTGCGTCGATTTGAGGGATGTGAACAAGGCTGTTGTGGTGGACAGTTTCCCATTGCCCCACACGGAGGAACTGCTTCAAGCGCTCGTCGGGACAAGGTACTTTTCGAGGATGGATTTATCCAGCGCGTACCACCAGGTCACCCTGAGTCCAGAAAGCCGAGACCTAACGCGTTCCTACACACGAGGGTCTTTTTCGTTTCACCAGGGTTGGCTTCGGATAGGCCTCTGCTCCTGCTGCATTCCAAAATATGATGACAACAATTTTGAAGGGGTGCAAGAAAGTTCTCTGCTACCTGGACTTCATCATTGTTTTTAGTGAAACGGAGGAGGAGCATCTCAAGAATGTGCACGAAGTCCTCCGCCGCATCGACGAAACTAGCTTGAGGTTGAACGACAAATGCATCTTCAACTTTCACGAACTCTCGTTGCTGGGACACGTCGTCAGTGAACGGGGAGTGTTGCCCATGCAAAGCCACGTCAATGCTATAGTGAGAGCTCTGGCACCGACAGATGTCACCAAGCTATCCTCATTCTTGGGTATGGTCGGCTATTATGCGAAGTTCATTCCACGGTGCGTGGAATTGGCGGAACCATTGCGAGAACTTCGCAAGGGGGAACCTTTCTGCTGGACGGCAGTTCGAGAAGAAAGTTTCAAGCGGCTGAAGTCTCTGCTTTCTGGCAGGCCACTTCACATATTCGACCCCAAGCTACCCGTCGTCGTGACGACCGACGCCTCAGCATACGGCCTTGAAGCTGTTCTGCAGCAGAAGAAAGGAGATCTGGTGACCATTTCTTTGGCATTCCGAACTTTGAAATTGCAAGAGTGGAAGTACTCCGCGGGAGAACGGGAGGCGTTGGCCTGCATGTGGGCATGCGAACAATACGTGTTTTCTTGTGGGGTCACCATGTTACGCTCCAGACAGATCTTCGATCACTGCTGACACTGTTGAACTTTCAGGGAACTGGCCAGCGGCCTTTTAAAATCGCAAGGTGGTATGCTTGGTTCCTTGCATAGAGTTTCACTATGGCTTTAAAGAAAGAAGATGACGACTTCATGGCAGACGCCCTCTCACGGATGCCTCTCGAAGGACCTAACGAAACACCGTGTGAAGAGGAGGTTGTGTGTGCTATTTCTCTGTGTGTATCGCAGCAGGAAATTGACGAAGAGACTCTGGAGGACAGCCGTCTGCAGCAGGTGGTGGCATGGACAACTAGCACGTGGCCACCAAAGGAGTTGCCTCCAGACATAGCACCATTCTTCCAAGTGAAGGAAGAACTTTCCATGAGTGAAGACCTGTTGCTTAGGAAGATCGTGTTGTGGTTCCGACCGCTCTTAGGCGAAGATAGTGGAGCCTGCGCACAAGGCTCATCCTGGGATTATAAGAACCGAACAGCGTGCGCGTGACACGTATTGGTGGCCTGGCATGGACACAAACATTGAGACGGCCGTCAAGTATTGCAGTGTTTGTCAAGCAGTCGACAAATCAGTAAAACCTGTCTTGCCTCCTTTACATCCGGTCGAGTGCGCGCGTCAGCTCCGTGGGAGAAACTTGGTGTGGATATCGTGGGACTGTTTTCCAGAGGACCAAGCGATTGCCGGTATGCTGTCACTTTAATTGACTATTTCAGCAAGTGGCCGGATGTGTGGCTGACGAGTCTGGTGACGTCAGGAAAATTAATTGCCTTTCTACAGTCAGTGCTCAGCAGCGAGGGCTACCCCACCGATCTGGTCAGTGATCACGGGCCTCAGTTCGTCTCGGCCGAGTTCGAAGCATTCCTGCAGGAGCGTGGAACGAAGCACACCTTTTCCTCAGTTTATCATCCATAGAGCAATGGCCAGAGCGAGCGTTTTAACTGTGTCTTCAAAGGCTTTATACAACTCAGTGCACAAGAGTAGCGTCCTCTGAAGGACGCCGTGCTAGAATATCTTGGCGCCTATCGTTGTTTTCCTTAGGCAGCAACAGGCGAGAAGCCAGCCTTCCTGCTCCACGGACGTCACCCCAGGACGAAGCTGGATATCGTAGGTGGACCATCTCGAGACTTCTTTAGCAAACCGACAAGAAGTCTTGCAGGGCTACGAGAACGGGTGACCCAGTACCAACGGAAGTCCAAGGCATATACGGACAACCTCCATGGATCCAAGTTCGCAGTTCGAGGACAGGTCCCGTACTTCGGCAACAAATGCTTCGATGGATTCCCCGGGGAGCTGTGCTCGCTGCCCGAAGAGGTGTCGTGCCACGACGCCATTGGAAGTCGCCTCGAAGTAGTTCTGCAGGGCCGCCAGAGCGACATCGTACTCGTCCAGTGCAGCGGGAAACAGTGTGGCCGCAGGAGGTTCACTGGGTTCCGGTACTAGAGGGAACGTCTCAGGAAGAGAATAGAAGATTCTTTGCCCCTCAAACCCGAGGCAGTGTAAAAGTAGGGCCTTCCGCCAAGCAGGTCCGTGGGCGTCGCCTCCCGTCGCCAGCAGGTAGTAGTTGAACACCCGCCAAAATTGGTTTCACGGAACAGCAGGTTTCCCGGGAGCGGGCCGGAAGGGGGGAGGCACCGCGAGGCTCATGGCTTCGCCTCGTCACTCCGTTGATCCTCGTCGCCGCTGTTGTGTTGCTGCCGACGCAGCCGAAGCGGCACTCTCCAGTACCGGTGCAGAACAACCTATGTTTATTTGTGATTGCTGTTTTATAACCCTCGCGATAGTGGCGCCGCCACAACAGCCGCGGGTGCATGTGCGACTTCACTGCTGTCACAATGTCTGCATAGTTCGCTGTCGTCGGACTAGGCTTTACCAGCGTAACTATGAGCGAGTACGTTTCGGCGCCGCAGCAACTGAGTAAAACCGCGCGCTTTTGTTCTTCGCTGGCCAGCTTGTGACACACGCAGTACGTATCCAACCTCTCGACATACTTTTCCCATGCACTCCCTGTTCCGACCTTGTATTCTCCGGTGCCGTTGGTTGTCATACTGCCGTTGTGCCGCTGTGGCCGCTTCTGCCGCCGTGGCTCTTTGTTTGTCTCTAGCTGACGTAGCCGTTGATTAGGCTTAGTTTCCCCTCGCTAATTGTAATGACTTGAGCTGGACCACGACATACTGTAATCCTGACCTGCCGACAGACGAGAGCGACAGCGCGCGGTGTTTAGTACACACAGAATCGGCAGCGTTTCTTAACGCTATGAGCGCATGGCGCCACTGAAAAGCCTTTCTGTTTCCTAAGATATCCGTACGTCAATTTGAGGCGCGCAACTTCCGGCTGCGTTACCTAGTTCTGACCTGTCTGCGGAATAGCTCTCCCACCAACATGTCGCCACTGCGCGTGTGAAATATTTTGCCACTAGGGGAGCCAGCACCCGTCATAGTTGCCGAGCCCAAAAACATAAAAGTACTTCGGTGGTGTAGTACAATCTTGTTCTAACTCCTGGCACCGCCCCCTCGCCCCCTAATCAGTCAGACAGAGGCAATTAAATCAACATTAAAAAAACTTTTTTTTTTCGCTACGATTAAAAAATTGTTGGTCCCGCCACTGGCGCCGCTCTGCAGCGAGGTGGACCCCTGCGGAAAGGAAGGAAGAGCGGTAATCACCTAGTGGCAGGGGTGCCAGGCCGCAGGGAAGGCAGGCTCGGAGCTGCCGTGTGGGTCCCAGAAAAACCTTTACCGCGCGCCCTCAACGGAGAAACCAGGCACTCTGCCGGC